AATTTGGAAGAGGTCGCTGGAGAGGAGTAGTATGGGTCAAATCTCCAGATCGCGCTTTCCCATCACCTGGCTCAACTCAATTGCACCTTCCCTATCCCGATTTCACTTTCTCATCACCCTTCGTTTCACCTCACCTACCGTATCTTCACTTCACACTCTTCACATGCACCTCACGATTGCCTCAACTTCACGCGAATAAACTTCACGTGAACAGCGATCCCACACGTGACCTGACTGGGTCGCTCCTGCCCTTTCATCTGACTGTGAATCGAACCTGCGGTCTCAAGGAGGCCTCGTGATTCACATCGAATTCCCTTTCACCTTTCACCACTTTGAGACCGCCTTGATCATCACGAGAATCCTCCCTCCCTCCAACCTATTTAAACCTCCGTTCGGAGACTCGATCCCTCTTATCCCTTTCCTCTCCATTCCACAACTCCTCCGTCCTTCCAAACAAACGATCGTTGGTTCCTTCTACCTTCTCCAAACAATTCGGACCGCCCAATATTACTTAAGTTCCATTCCGAGCTGGACTCTTTACTGATTACATCGAGCAATAGCCCTCACTCAAAACAACAACAAGACAACCTTAATTACTTATCATTACCGCAAGATCAATCGTCAAGAACTCATAAAAGGGCTGTTTCTGCGCCCGACTTTGCCGCTATTTCTGCGCCTACCTTCCAGCCTTTCCCTTCGGTATCAGAAACCGCGCCCTTCCCACCGCAACAGCAGCAACCTTACGGTATGTCGCCTCCCGATTCTCCCCCTGCCGTATCGGGCAGCGACGAAATCAAGTGTATGTACATCGAGAACTGCGACACTGGATCTCAGCCTCGCAAGGCCATCTCGCACATCTTTGGTCGCAACAAGCTCTGCACCCGCATGATTCCCGCCCACGTCTGGGTTCATTTCTGCCGCAAGCACTACCAGCGAAGCCGTTACCGCAATGCCCATGAGTACTCGAAGCTCCAGGTCGATCTTGTTCAGAAGCAAATCGCCAGAGTTCAGCAGTGGAGCGATGAGAATGAGAGAGCTGGTAAGGCAGGCGTGGTGAACAGCTGGTCTCTTGCCATCCGCAAGCGAGAGCAGAAGCGGTTGGAGGACAAGAAGGAGTCGAAGAAGCGTGCCTACCAAGACGAGTCCGAGGACGAGCAGCTCGACGGTGCTATGCTCAACGGCACTGCCGTCCCCGAATGGCTCCTCAGCAAGTGCGGTGCTGGATACACCACTGTTGCTATTCAGGAGATTGTCGCTCAGCTGAAGACCGAGATCGATGGTGGCAGCTTAAGCCAGATCCCCGATATCGAGATTCTCCCCACCATCAGCAGCGACGGCCCCGACGAGAAGCCCAAGACCTACCTCAAGCGCAAGACAAGCGGCGGCGCTGCTCACAAGCGTTCCCAGTCTATGGGTGTCGCCTTGAGGCCCGAGGCAATGCCTATGGCTAGACGTGTCAGCCAGCCCAACGCCTACTGGGGCCATGACAGTAACCACACCTTCTCACTCGAAAATTGGGTCCAGAATACTGATATATCTCTAGCTGGCTTCTACGAGGATCGCAACGCGATTCCCGGCATGCCTCGAGTTCCGTCTGGCATGCGTCGCATGAACATCCCGCACCGCCCTGCCTTTGGCAACATTCGCGAGAACCACTCTGAGGAGGATTACTACCGCCAGCCCCAGATGGGTTCCGGTCCCTTCATCTTTGGTGCCGGCGGTCCTCAAGGCGGCCCTCTCCCTGCCCCTACTCCCCAGCGTCGTGGCAGCAAGTCCATGGCGTCTCACCTCGAGACCTCGACTACCATGCCTACCTACCCTGACCCTCGCCGGGCATACCACCAGCGATCTCAGAGCGAGATTGGCGGAGGCTTCCACCAGGGACAGGCTCCCACATACCGACCCAACTCGTCTTCGGGCTTCGCTCCTTACGGATATGCTCCCAACCCGGTTGACCAGCAGCCGCAGCAACAGCAGCCGCAAGACCAGTACGATGGCACCTACCCTCGTCCTCACGACAACCCGTTCGCCCAGGCCGCTCAGCCCAACTACTATGAGGATCCTCAGCGACAGTACGCTTACGGCGCTTCTCCGTTCCAGCCCAGCCCTGCCTCTCGCCTTGGTCCCGTTGGCGTCAACAGACACACCCGTCACCAGAGCACCCCGAACGCACCCCGTGCCATGCACCGCGCTCCCTCTGCGCACGGCTTCGCGGTTGCCCCAAACCAGCAGGGCTATGATCGCACACCCGAGCACTCGCGCCATTCCTCCTACGCCACCCCGCCCATGCAGCCCATGCAGCCTATGCAACCCATGCAACCCATGAATGACGGCACCCGTCACTGATTGGGGCAATCCGAGATCGAGACAAGAAACAAGCACTCTTTTGAAACGGCCTTCCTTATACCCGCATTCATGTCACGTCGACACGGCATCAAAATCGGAGTCAACATTGGGGGACGGCAAGCGGTCATTTGGTTTTCCTACACCTCTCCCTTTCTCTAATTATCTCTCTCTCTTTCTCCTCTCGTTGCACGGCCAATTTTTGCATGAGGAATAGCGGGAAACAAAATTCACATTGTACACCACGGACTTTCTTTATCTCTCTCTCTCTCTCTCTCTCTCTCTCTCGGCAAGGGCTTGGCTACGTACCTGCTGCCCTGGTAACGATCAAATGATGGATGACTGGACATCGCACGGATCAACGGCACACTCTTGATACAAGCAAAACTCGGGGGTCGGTTTTGGGTTTCTTTTTTAGAAAGTCCTAGATGGGCAGGGCAACTCTTTCACTATCTCCGACTTTTTGCTGCTCTAGCAAAGTCGATCTGGAAGCACGCTTCGGGGGTGATATTAGGGAGTGGAACTGGCATTTGTACGAGTACGGACGGAAGCTGTCGGCGGTTTCGGGGTGGGTTTCTTCTGGCGGACGGACGGATGGGATGGGAAGGGACTGGGTTTGGGATTCATTACGGATCTGAAAACGGCGTTGGCTTTTCCGGTTCTTGACTTTTTTCTTATTCTTCATTTTTTTGCCCCCGACGCGTTTATCCTCTTCGCTTCTACCCGTCTCCCAGCTCTTCTGCATTTTTGACTCCCCCCACCATTGGTCATTTTGCGGAAAAGTTTTCCTTCTTCTCGACTTTCCTTCTTTTATTCCACCTGACTTCTTTCACGCTCTTGACGATGGCTGTTGTTTCTCACGCATCGGCATGTCACAGAGCAACGGTAGTTGTCACGGGGAAAAGACACTAGATCTGAAAGGGGATTGAAGGAGATGGAGAGATGGAGAAGGAGTGGAATGAGCGGAACGCGTACCAAAAAACTTTCCTTGAGCTTCGTTTGATAACGCTTCGTCTTGCAAGGGCTTTGAACGCTTAGATAGCTCAGCCTAATGAAATACGCAGTTAAGCTACGATCTTTTCCTCTGTGCCTTTGTGTGTGAAGTGACGTGACCACTGGTAAGTCGAGGAACAACTATGGGAAAGTCATGGTTCTTGTGTGCCATGAATGGACAAAGATGGTGACTAATAAGGCATGTATGTGTGACCGAAAGCGTACCACGTTGGAAAATTTGGACATTTAACGTTGTCTTATGGCATGCCGTCTTTTGAAGTTGCCTTTTGTCTATTCTTGATAGGGGATTGTTGAGGTAAGTATCTTTCCAAAACTACTGGATCCATGGGAGGAGAAACAGAGCAGCTTTCCTCCCCCTTCCCACAGTGAAAAGACACACATGTACTATACAGCCTATTGGCCTTTTCTCGAGACAACATAGCTACGAGGTAAACCGAGGAGAGGTTCAACTTCTATAATCTCTAGTTTCATCACCACATTGAACAAACCTAGAAGATTTTCACCCAACGCTTGGTGAAAGAATTGTGTCTCGTTTGGAGGGTTATAATTTCGTGTAGGACTGAACACAGCCCCAGCAATGGCCTCTCTATGCCACGATGGAAACGGGCGTTGGAGGCAAGTTCTTTATAACAGGTCTCTCTTGCGTTTTTTGGTCTGTCCAATGAGCTCATGCAAACCGCACAACTCGCCATTCCATCTTGTGTTCATCTACTCTCTCCCATCCGTTCTATCAATGCTAGAACATCCGAGAGGAGATTCCCCGTCGCTTTCGATATCGAAGTTGAAACACCCCGTAAGTTCATCTATGCGTCATCTCATTCATGAATTCCAAAGTAGATCTTCCTCTTACTCCCTAAACATAATCGACCCGCCATCCCACTCCGCAAGCCTCCCCACATTCGCCCGCCCCTTGACGACAAACCCGAGCCTCTGATAAAACGGCTCGACTCCGACAAGCCCGATAAGCCACGCCGGCACGCCATCCTTGTCCACCTGCGCCAGGCCTTCCCGCACGAGCAGCGACCCGAACCCGTTCCCCTGGTCACCAGGCGCCACCGCCAGCGTCGAAAGGTACCACGCCGTCTTGCGCGCCGGGTACTCCGGGTCCTGCGTCAGCACGTCCGAGGCAATATGCGTGTCGTCAAAGATGGTGAGCATGGCCGGGTCGAGAGACCTCGGAGGCCAGAGGTAATCCGTCAGGGAGTTGATGCCGAGCAGGATGGGCTTCAGCCAGCCGCGGAGGGTGAGATAGCCCTCAGTCGCGGATTTGTCGGCCGGGGTGGGGTAGGGGCGGCGCCACCAGCTGAACGCGGCGATGCGCTCGCCGGAGGCTGAGTCCGGGTCGGGGACGGTGAGGACGTGGAAGAGCTGCTGCTCGGGACCCCAGTAGCGCGCGTAGAAGTAGCGGTGGGCGGCGGCGCGCCAGTCCTCGGGGAACTCGCGGCGTCGGGGGTGCATCTTGTCGACGGCCCAGTCGTTGCCGAAGGCGGCCATGTAGACGTCTACGATGGCTGCCGTGTCGGCGGAGGTTCCTGGGCGGATGCGAAAATGTGGCTTAGACATTGTTCCGGGGTTTCCAAGGGTTGTTGAGGCCTTGTAAGTTTGTTAGTCCAAAGTTCAACGAGATCATGAGGAAGTAGTCATATAGTGTCTAGCGGAGGGGTATGAAGGTCCGGTGGGAGGCCGAAGCCGAAGCCGATACGATAAAAAGTGGGAACAAGACTTACAGACGGTGCGAAACTATCATTCAATTGGCCAATGGGGGACGAAAACAATGACACAATCCGGTAGCTAGATGGGTTGATGGGCAAGAGTAAGAAATGTGCCGTGTCCAGTTCTGTTTGTATTACAAGTGGTCTGAAAATAGAATGCGTCAGGATAAGGTCCTGCAGACAGCTTCACGGGAAGTGTCTCGATTTGAAGGTCTTTGGTATGTCATCGCAAGGGCGAAAGAAGTTGGTTCCTTGGCTTGTTGGCACTAAGAAACCGAATGACTCAACCGGGGAGCACGCAACGCGGGGAAACTGCTCCAAAAGTTCCTGCATCTGCAGGGGAATGGCCTTGGAGCATTGGATGTTTGATCCCCGTCATGGTCTTTCGGAGCTGGTCCGGCGTAACGCGCCGGCTCGACTGGCAACATCCGGATGCGGAGACCGGTCGGCCGAGGACACGGCCGAAGCAGGCTACACGTTTGTCGGGCGAATTCCCACTTCGCAGAGTGTCGCCCCGGGCCGAGGATCGCGGAGGTCATCGGCTACAAGTGGAGCTTGTCCTTCACAGCACACCAACTTGGCATGTGCTGGCGCCATGTTTAGTATTTTTGGCCCCCCGAAAAGCTGCACGTCGCTGAAGTGGTTGGGGGCAGGATTCGGATCCTTGGTGAAAGGCTCATGTCATATGGACGTGGAATCGGTGCAGCTTGGGAGCCTGCGGCCGCGAAGCAGACCAACCCTGACCTGGCAGGATCCACGCGGAACAAGCCGTGGCTCCCGTCCTACGGTGCCTACTGTGGGAGGGAGTGGAGGAGACGGGACGGTTGGAGAGAAGATGCCCGACTCCGGCGTGACCGGCCTCCAGAGATCTGGATTCAAGCGTTTCGTTGTCTCTAAGGTAGGTAGTCCGTTCCCCGTAAGTCGTAAGGCGGGCTCGAGTTCGTCCGCATGACCAATCGTCGACGTAAAGGGGGATCTAGCCACAACAAAGGAAGGTAACGGTGCAAGGTTGGCCATGGGCACGAAAGTTCCGAGAGAATAGGCACGGAAAATGCTGTGCAACGTCGGATGAGGAACCGTCACTGGCTTGGATGGCTACTCTGGCCAGGGGGGGTTCAAATGAAGAAAGGCATGGGCAGCTTTTCCTGGGCGCCGTGATCCATCGTGTCAGCCCTATATGAGGAGACTGCAGTGAAGACACATGAGGCTTACTGACGACTCGAGGTGATGCGTCACGTCATTGCTCAACTCTTCCGGACTGGATTCGGGGGTTAACGACGGTCGCGGTTGTGCAAAGCGGGTTGTTGAGATGATTCTAGCATGTTTCGATTGGTTCTGGAAGATTGTGAGGTGCTCGTTTTGTCAGACTGCATGGAACTATTTTATCTATTTCCGTTGTTGGTCTGTCTCACACCGAGACATGGGACACAAAAGATGTCGATAGTATCTGGCTGCAATCGGTGGTAGATGTTGATGGTGTCCTTGTTGGTTGGCGGAGGTCATGTCCGTTGCGGTGATGGGATAATTGGAGAGGGTGTAACTAGTACGAATGCAGAAGACAGTGGATTATGTAAGATATCGATATAGAGGGCCCAAGCGCAGCTCAGCAAGTGACACCTGGGATGATAGGGGCAGTTGGGGCACATGTGGACAGGACATGTGGATATGGCAGGCAATAATGGGCAGTCACGCAGCGATCGGGAGGAAGGAGACAAGACTCGGGAAGGAATCACGACAGGTGCCGAGAAAGAATACGTACCGTAGCTTATCTTTCCCATCTTGTCAAGTTCCCTTGTCAATTGGAAGCCCCAAGGACTCAAGCATCTGCAATCTGGAATATGCCGCTGCTGGCTCCAAGTCTCGAACCCGGGCTTTCGGTATGTACGGAGCACCTTTGGTAAAGTACGGTCAGACATGAAGAGAATGTTTTGTTCCATTGGCCAGACCATTTGTGTCTTTGATTGCGAGTGTCAGTCAGAAACTGGCCCTCGCGGCGTCGCCTGGCCAAGACTAAACAGCGTCAGACATCATTATCCGATGTAGCCGCCACAAGAACAGACTGCTGGGTTGGAAGAAAGGAAACGGAAACAAGCCGGCATCTGCTGATCGCAACCGTCCCCAATGCCTTCCCGAGGGCTTGACTGTCGTGAGTCGTCATTGTGTAATGAGCAAAGAGTGAGGCTGCCAAGTTGTCCCTCGTTCGCCGTTCTCGTGTTACACACGTGCATTCATGGGTTGAACAAAGAGACGAGTGACATGGGCGGCAACAACATGAACAGCATTGAGCATTGAACATGGTTTGAAGATGTGTGCCTATCTTCAGTGGCCGTCGAGTGGTAGGCGGGGCCGGGATTAAGACTGCATCGAGGAAGGATCCGCTTGGGTTGACTTGTTTCCCCCCATTACCCCCCTCCATTTGAGTCCCTTCTTGGCTACAAGAGGCCACTCGCGGAGAGTCTGGACCTGTGGAGCATGCAGCACTAGTAGGGAGCATCGCAGTTGAGAGAACAGCTAGCAATTCAACACTAGTGTTCTCCCGTACGGGTACGCAATGGAAGTACTCCGTACACTTCCTTTGCGGTAGGTATCCGTAGCTTGTGGTTGCTCCTACCTCACCTTAATAATCCTCAGCCCAGCTCCAAATCCAACAAATTCCAACATCCCCAAGACCTCGTCTGTCTAAGCTACCTTAGGCTTGCCTTTGCCGTTGCATTTGCTACCGCTGCCGTCGCTCGCTATTGCCGCTGCCGGTCCTGCATGCATTGATCGGCTGTACCTCGCGGATAGTCCACTTCACTGCTGTGCTGTCCCTGCCGACAACTTTCCGCAGAATCGAATTCGTGGTGGGACACATCCAAATCCGTTTTTCCTTTGACCCTCCCGGGCTCGCACCAACGAAACTCTGCTTCCACCATCTCTTGCGTCAATTTATCTCTTCGCGCTGTTTTGCCCTTCGGTGGCACCCGCGCTTCACTGTCTGAAGCTGCGCTGCTTGTTTGGAAAAACAACATCCGTGAGGTAGCAGCTACCAAGACGCACGATAAATACCTTAATATGGCGAGACAGGTCCAACGCCTTGCCGTGACGCCGCCGTCCGAGGATTCTGACAACGTCAACTCAAGCTCGCGTTACACAAATCGTTTGTCGTCGTCTTCAAGTCACCAGTCTGCGGCAGACGCCCCGGCTCGCGCCCACCGCGCTTGCGAAAAATGCACACGAACCAAGAAGAAGTGCGACAAAGGTCTGCCCGCTTGCTCGAGATGCACCAGGTGAGTCTTTTTTCCCTCCAAGGAAAGAGAGGCTGCCCCTGCCAAAAATTGTCTATCCCGAGGTAGTCTAACTAACCTTTCAGACTTACCACCAACTGCTGCTATGACTTTGTCGTCAACCCACCATCCCTCACCATTGTTGATTCGCATGGCGCCGCTGGCAATGCTTCTTCTTCCAGCGGCGACGCGCGGCCTGCCTTCGACTGGCTCAACCAAGTCGATTTCACTGCTGGTCAGATAATGCAGCTTCTGAACGGGAACGGCATCGACTGGAAAGCTTCCATCAACACCTATTTCAATACCGTCAACACCTGGCTCCTCGTGATCCATCCCGAGGTGTGGCAGACACGTTGTGCCGCGGCTCAGCTCGAAACCAACCCCAACGATTCTGATTTGGCGTTGGTTGTATTGTGCATCCATCTATTAACCATCTGGAATTGCGACGAGTTCTCGTCCACCGCTATGCTTCATCATCCGCTCTACCAGTCAGCCAAGCGTATATGGACGTTGAGGAAAGCCTTTTCGAAACCTAAAATCGAGCACGTTCAGTGTGGTGTTCTATTATCGTTGTACGAGTTGGGGCATGGCGACATCACTCGCTGCTATCGTACGTTCGGCGAGGCGGCCTCCATCGGCAAGGTGTTGAATCTCAGACCGGGTAAATATGTCGAAGAAGAAGAGGACCTGGCTGCTGAACCCGAAGAAGAGCAAAATCGAGCTCTGTGGTGGGTTCTCGTGATAATGGACAAGTAAGTGCTCTTTGGTGTCATTCATCGGTGTCTTTGCTTACTTGACTAGGATCTCCCATGAGCAATCCGCAACACTTTGGACACCGCTCCAGATGGACATGCCCTCCGACGATGACCTTCTCCCGACCGAGCACATCCTTTGGGACAATGACAGAAACGGGCCTATTAAGATGATCAAGCGGTACCCTACCACGATCCCGGCATCGGTGCGTGTCGGCGCTTTTCAGAGGTCATGCCAGGCTGCCATTCTTCTCGGTTACGCCGTCAATTGGGAAGCGGCAAATGCTGAAATCGAAGAACCTCCGACAGTCTACTCGTTTGTTCAACTTGAGTCTGCCACGAGAGATCTGATTGAGGCTCTTATCACCCGGTCCGAGACTTGGAGTGAGAACCTCAACACTTATGCTCTTTGTGCTAGGTGCGTTGCTAACGGCCGATGTGGTTGAGAACATGCTAACATTACTCCAGCTTGTTCTGCCTTCTTTTCTACTCTTTTCTGTATACTGCCAATAGACCAGGGATGCCTGCCCGTGATCCAGAGACAGATATGGAAATGAAGAAGGCAGTTGCCGGTATCAAATTCACGATTGGTCTCGTGATTGATGGCTCGAACGGCATCTTCAACGCCTATTCCAACCGCGATGACGTTCTGGAACACTGCGCTGCGGTCTGGCCATACGCTCTCTTTCATACGATGCAACTACTGTTCCACTACGACTCTCTCATAGAAGGCGCAGACTCCCTCATGGCGGAAGTCAGACAGAACGTTGAGAGTACAGCTAAAAGATGGGCCTGTTCTCGTATGATCCCTGATGGCGTGAAGAGAGGACAACTTGCTAACCCCTGGTCTCAGGATGGCTTTTGGAAGAGTTCGACCGGGTCCATGAAGCGAGAAGCACCGGCGTCAAGATGTGCAAAAAGTGAGTGACCCGCCAAAGTTCCAAGCATGTTGGGAGCTTTGAAGACTGACTTGTCTAGATGTACCCTTGGAAATATGACTTGCGGACATTATTCGGCTCCCGAATGAGTTGAAGCTCGGCCCCTCGGAAGACAACAAGATTCGACCCCGCCCGAACAGTCTCCGGCGGTGGAGACGACACATTGTACCGCTCCGAGACGTCACCGGCATCTTTCACCATTCGTGTGTGTATGTCGAACCGTCGAATTATACATCCACGTCTAGCGCCGGTGGCGGCAGTCCGGTCAGTGTGACCGTGAGCTCTCTGCAAAGGCTTCCAGTTTGGACTGAGGAAGGTCCGCAGCCGTCGCTAGCCACTGGGCGATCTGTGTTGATCACGCGCACCATCGCATTAAAACACTTCGTCATCCTCCATGCGACCGGTCAAGAGCTCACGGATGAGGCTTGCGATGAACCCTATTCTTGCTCCAGTCTGCAGCAAGTATTTGCGAGACTCGAGTCTCAAATTGCTATTTTCCGTCAAACACCGGCAAAAGCTGCAGCAGTGTTGACGGCATAGCGGGGAAAGAGGAGCCGCCTGTGCGCTGAGGAATGCCCGACGAGTTTCGCAAGGCTGTGGCTGCATTGTTTGGAAAATCAGTACAAGGAGAACTTCCTATCCGTTGGAGACACAACGTTGAGGGATTTCTTGCAACAGACAGCCCCATTCTTGTATGAACGTCCGAACCGCTGAGGGCGGTACGCTAAACTATCAAGGATTGCGGGCTGTTTGCAGTTGTGTCGTGGAACGTCGCCAATCACCAGCTTGCTGGGGATCACCAAAAGCCATCTTGCCGGTCAACCGTTGGATACTTTTTCGAGACTCTCGTACTTGAAAACCAAAAAAGGAGGACTTTGCAGATGTCGAAGGGCAGAAGCTGGCGCCTGCATGCTCTCCAAGCACTTGCTCGTAATCCGGCTAGACTATGCACTCCGGATCTGGACGGGTTTCCGTAAAGCGAAGTCTCCACGATGAAGCCGGGAGGCTAAGTTTGGAGTTGCTGCATTTTAAATCTGCGCCCGTCACATAGCTTTTAATCTTACGACGAGTGCCTAGCCCGCCTGGATAGGACAATGAAGCAACCCCTCATTGCGTCAAAAACGGCCCATACCGTTATCCGACGAAGCGCTTCAACCCAGATGCTCGACTCCATGACTGCGGGCAACTCTCTCTTCGTGTCATTTATTGGCCACATAGCAC